TCTGATACAGGAAACAACTTCAGTTCCTTTGCATTTAATAAACATGTTCTATTAGTGAGTATGTGGTCTATTTTGGAGAAGGACCCATATGCAGCTGAAAAGGATGTGTATTCTGATTTTGTGGGGTGAAACACTCTGTAAACATCTGTTAAGTTCATTTGTTCAAGAGTTTGATTGAGTTCTAGTATTTCATCACTTATTTTTTGTCTAGTTGATGTATCTATTTGTGTCAATGAGGTATTGAGGTCCCCCACTGCAATGCTATTAGGGTATATATGACTTCTCATATATTTGTTTTATATAGTTGGGAGTGCTAGTGTTTGGTGCATAGATATTTATGATTGTCATCTCTTCCTGTTGGATTCTTCCCTTTACAAAGATGTAGTGTTCTTCTTTGCCTCTCTTAATCAGTATTGGTTTGAAATCCACTTGATCTGCAAAGTGGATAGCTACTCCTGCTTTTTTTCAGGTTCCTGTTCTCATGGAGTATTGTTTTTTATCCTTTAACTTTCAGTCTGTGAGTTTCTTTTTGAATTAAGTATGTTTCTTGTATGCAGCATATTGTTGGATATTGCTTTTTGACCCATTCTGCTTGTCTATTTCTTTTAATTGGTGAATTGAAACCATTAACATTTTTGTTTATAACTGATACGTATTGACTTATTATTGTCATGACTTTTTCCTTTTGCTGTATTCTCCCCTTTTGCATTCAATTTCTTGTCATGCCCAGTGGATTCATTCTGCTGGGCTTCCTGGGGTTGTGATCTTCATTGTCTTTTCCTAGGATATTGTCTATAATATTTTGGAGTGCTGATTTGGTATTCATGAATTTTCTAAGATGCTCTTTGTCATAAAAGTACCTTATTTCTCCATCAATTTTGAAAGATCGTTTTGCAGGGCACATCAATCTGGGTTGGAGGCTGTTTTTCTTTAGGGCTTGAAATATGTCACTCCAAGCTCTTCTTGCCTTGAGGGTTTGCATTGAGAAGTCTGCTGTGACTCTGATGGGCTTGCCTTTGTATGTGATTTGTTTCTTTTCTCTAACTGCTTGTAGAAATTTTTTCTTATGTTGGGTTTCTGGAATCTTAATTATTATATGTGTAGGGTTTTTTTTTTTTTATCAAGGCTATCTGGAGTCCTATATGCCTCACTTATCTGTATGTCAAGTTCTTTTCCCCTGCTTGGGAAGTTTTCTGCCACCACTTCTGTCAACAGGTTTTTTATGTCATCTGCACTCTCTATTGTTTCTTCATTGACTCTTATCAGTCTTATGTTATTCATCTTTGCATTATCTAGCAGCTGCTGGATTGATTTCTTGTGGTCCCTTACTATTTTAAAGAAATTTTCCTTTTCCTGTTCACTAATTGCAATTTTATCTTCTATATCTGAAATTCTGTCCTCACATTGGCTCATTCTGCTGTGTAAACTTTCAATGGAGTTTTTAATCTCCTGGAAATCTGTTTTATGGATTCCATTTGTTTCCTATGTTGGGATTTCATCATGTTCTTCAACTCCTCTATTTTTTATCTGTATCCACTCTAGATTTATTAATCAGTCTTGCACTTTGGGTACAATCTCTGCTGTTATCTGAGAAATTATTTCTGATTTCTTTTTTTCTAGATCCTCTTTTGTCGCTAGTTCAGGGAGTCCAGGTGGTTGAGTATCAGAGTGTTCCATTTCATTTCCCTTTGGGGTTGCTTTAGATGCTCTGGAAGTCTCATTCTGAGACCTGTTTATGTGTCTTCTCATTTCAAGGGAGTGGGGCGTATGTGCTGCTGGTAGCTCACCTCCTCACCTCTGGGGTGGGGTGCCTTTGCCCTTCAGGGCTCGGTGCAGTGGTGTGGTGACCCAAAAGGCTCACCTCCTTGGCGCTGGGGGGGGGCTCTGCTTCTTGGTGCTCAGTTAGGTGGTATGGTGGCCCTGAAAGGCTCAGTTCCTTGCTGCTGGGGGGCACTTTGCTCCTCAGCACTTGGGGCAGTGGTACAGCCCCTGTGTTCTGTTTTGTAGCTGCAGCTTGTGATGATATCTCCACCAAGTTCAGTAAGTTGTCCTAGGAAGACTCTGTAGAGGGCTAACCAGCCAAATTCTGATAGACTACAATGGCTGTCTTTTTGTTTTAGTATGACTTTGAATTAAAGAAAAATTGTATGTACATACCAGTGAAAAATCAAGTTAAAATAGATATAAGTAATAGGAAACCAGTCAGTGAGTAATAATAATTACTAGTTGTTTTAAGTGTAATATTGCTTTATTTTGTATCAGTAGTGACTCCATGAGGCAGCTGAGGCAGGTACTCTTGTTAATTCTTTCTTTTCAGGCTCAATAATGTAGGCGCTGAGCAATGCAGAATTGCCTCTGGTTTCCCATGGGTGTATGTAAGCAGAGTCAATCCAGGGACAGACAAATCTGCCTCTGCCACTGAATTAGCTCAAATTCTCACTTCAAATCAATACTGTGACCACTTCAGAGGGAGAGGGGGTGATCAGAGTCAAGGTTAAGGGATGAAAAGCCTAGAAAGCAAATGAAGAGGAGAGATAAACAAGACAAGACATGGTGGAAAAAGGGAAGAGATATGGAGGGGATGGAGAATAAGGAGGCTGAAGAAGGAGGAATGGGGCTCACATGTTATAGGATGCATTCTCTTGTTTTCACATTGTAAATGTTGCTATGTAGACATGTAACTATGTTAGATAGTATCTAAGGAGGTTTCTTGTTGTTGTTGTTGTTTCTTATTGTGAAATAGTCAATTTGATTGGTTCTGATTCATTTAAATTTTAACTTATTGTTTGGTTCTTTTTCTCTTTCTTACCTCTGTTTTATTTAAATAGATATGTTTTCTGTGTGGAATACAATTCTATGTGTGTGTTTTTAATAAGTTTAGTTTATGAAATGTACCTTGAAATTCTATAGTCAAATATTCTCCCTGTGTCTAGTTTCTTTTTATTGTGTTTAAAGATTTGCCAATGATTAGAGAACATAAACTCTTACTCCAGGGACAGAAATGGTTTAATTTCAATTCATTCTTTTATAATCAGCTGATTTCCCAGTTATAGATTACATTGCAATATAAATGTCAGTTGAGCCTGTATTAGAAAAATCAGAACAATTAAAATTTTATGTTTTGGGTATTTAGGTTTAATTCTAGCTCACAGTATGGTTTTCTTAACAGTTTTATTTTTCTCTGTCTTAGTTTTGGCATTACCTAAAATGAAATGATGTCATTTTTACTCCTGTTAACTGTACAGAGTACACTGAAATATAATTTTGAGAATTAATAATTCTACAAAATAGGCTCATTCTATTTGTACTATCTGTACTCAGTGAGAAATCAAACATATAATGGAATTTGAATATCTCTCCTGGTGGAATTTTTTAGATCTAAGCATTACTGATAAGTTTTAGCAATGCAATTTTGCCCATTACAAACCCTGACTAGGTTGTTTTCCTATGGGAGCATTCCTTTTCTTTGACCGTGTATATGTCCCTTGAGTACATGTCTTCTCTCATCTTGTGCAAAATAGGAGAGGAGATAATAGTTTGAACCTGAAGATTTACACTATTGGTAAGCTAAAGAAAGTGAGGCTAGCTCTAGTTTTTCCACAATATTGATGAGTGATTTTCCACAAGTTACCATTTCTCTTTGGCTCCCAATTTTCTAATGTTTAACAAGTTGAAGTGGGAATAATTAAGTGGTTTAAAAGTTTTTTTTAATCTCATGAATCTTTATATTTTATCTTAAAATTAGTCTTGTATAGAGTTCCCAAATTTAAACTAGTTTAGGTAAAGCTATCCTGATTGCTATGGGGATGGCGAGGGTAGAAAAACTTTATCCAAAACCTGCTGAATTTATCCATGTGTCATAATGTGACAGTCATTGAACTAAATAATTTAAGGACACTTTGATTTGTACATGTACTGAGGTCTGTCTTTCTGTAGGAATAATGTAGTTTTACTCAATAGGGGAGTTTCTGCTTGCTCAAAAATGTCAAGTTACTGCTAATGACTCTACCCCCTAAATACATTCACTACGGTGTAGAATATTTGCACCATGGTGTATGGACATCTGACCAGGAAGATGAATACTTGAAATTATTGTACGAGTGAAGAGAAGAACAGCATTGAGTAATTTTGACAGCCTTTAAAGTCATCCCACTAAACCTCTATGCATGAGTTAGATTTTACAATTTTGTCGATGTCAAAAATGACACTATCATCTTTTTAAGATAGTAACATTTATTTTTATACTTGGATTTATAGTAGTTTGCCTAAAAATTTTTTCCCAAAATATTTCATTTATTTAACTTGTGCTATTTGCTCATTTCCAGACTGAATCACATACCAGCTTGATGTAAAGGGGAAAGATTTAAGGCTATCCTCCCTTCAAATACAAATGATTATTTACCCAAACAGAAGAAGGAAGCCAAAAAAAGAGAGAGCAGCTTTGCCAAGTCTAACCTTTTCTTTAGAGTGTGAGGGGTAAAGCTTTTATTTTTTAAAAGAAAAGAACAGAAAATAAAGTGGCTCATATGTAGACAAACTGAAGAATTGTGCAATATTCTAGCTTTAAGGAGGTTCATTTGATTTTCTTTGAAATGTTATGAATTATCAGGATATTAACACATTTCATAAGTATAATATATATTTAAAAATCAATATCACTAAGGTGCTCTGATACCCTTATTTATTTAGTTAGCTATGTGTTTGTTTGTTTACTTTATTTTTGGTGCTGTGGTTAGAACCTGGGTCCTCCTTCATTTTAAGAAACAGCTCTACCACTTATCTATACCCATGACCATCCACCCCTTAATTTGGAATCTCAGATCAAGCATACCTCAAACTCCACCGTTGAACAAAAGCTAGAAAATTAAGGAATAGTTAAAAATCTCTTCTGACCGTCTGTATTTCTTCTAGTTTATTCTGAGTAAACTTCTAGCACCATAGGCTGTGCATTTTTTTTCTTAAATTTATGTGTTGACAATGCATGCAATAAAATATTTCAGATCCTTCAGAAAAACTTTACGACCTAACCTCAGAAGAATTATCAGCTTTCAACAACCATTCCCTGAAGAGAAGTCGGAGTTCTTCAGATTTTTACAATACTTCACATGTGAATGGCCCCTGTGGATCTGAGTTAAGGTAAGTTAGGCCTGCGTCTATACATAAAAATAGTGCATAGTAAAATTTGGACAAATCTCAATTAGTTATTTTACTATATAAAAAATAATTGCCCTCATGTGTGTAATTTAACTGACCATTCTTTGTAAAATGTTTTGGTTTTTTGTAGACCTATTACCAAGATTTAGTAAACGGCTTAAAAAGTTGTTATTTTAATGTGGCAAGATAGCTCTCTGCTGAATAATATATGTCATAAAAATGAAAATACACATGGAATTTAATAATCCTTCTACATTTTTATGTCAAGAAACAATTGTATTGCTTGAATTAATTAATGCAATAAATTTCAATATTTTGCAATAACAAAATTTTATCTAATGTATATAAAGTTTTTAGAAAAGAATATTGAGATTTCTTTTCCTTAAAATGAAACCTAAATTATTAACAATATTTGTTTGTTTGTTTGTTTTTGGTACCGGGGATCGAACTCAGGTCCTTGCGCTTGCACAGCAAGCGGCAAAACCACTGAGCTAAATCCCCGGCCCAATTAACGATATTTTAATATGTATCATTTCATTATTTCCTCACGTACAATAATATGATAGATGGTGATCAGTCTATAAGGAATGCAGGCTATATTAATAACTGCTTCAGAAATGTAATATATCATGTTTGTCTGTTATTGACATACCAGATGTTTGGAGAAGGAAGATATATCTTTTTAGAGTGACAAAGATAGCTATAAATATAAGCCCTGTGAATTATAAGTTTCTTTGATTTTTTTCAAGCCTAATATTGCAATAAAAGGGAATCAAGAGTGTTACTTTGTCTTTTTGAAGGAGGAAATCATTTAGCTATGGTTCTTAGACTTTTGAATTTCTAACACCATATACAGTTTTTTGAAAAGGGACAGCTGCCTTTCTAGAAAAGTAGAAAGCAGGATAAGACCATTAGTGACTGTGTGTTAAACACCCAAGTTTTCTGTTTCCTTGGGACAGAAAATTCCATGCGAGGTGCTATAATCAAATTTTGATGACCCATGTCAATTACACAGTAAAACCAGTTGACACAGTGAAATTCCCCCAAAAGGAAATAAAACTCAAATGTCTTTAGCATTGTGTAAACAAACCTGAATGTGTTTTTTAAAAAAGGATCAATGAGGATAGTATTTTTTCCTTAAAAATGTTATTAAAAGCAAACTAAACCTAGATGTACTTCCACTGTCATGTCACACAAGAAAAGGTATTCAAAAATTCAAAAGGTTATGCTAAAAATGTAAGAAGAACATACTAACAGAATAAAATGTAACATATTACAAAAAGTCGCTGTCTTTTCCTTCTCTTCTTTTCTTGGTTGAGTGAAAACTGTAACAGTTATACATGCACTAGTCCACAGGCTAGAGTGTATTAGCTGCTGAGTTAGCCTGTTTTGGACTTCAAAAAACAATCCTAATAGAGTTATATTCATCACAAGGTGAAGTATTTCAAATTCAGTTGCATACATGGGCTGAAAATCTAGATAACTTTGCACCAAAAACTGAATGACATGGGTGCCTCCCTCTTGCGCCACAGTACCTGTGCTCCTAGAGCCCAGACACCTGTGTGCTAGAGTGTCTGCCAGTCCTGCCCCTCGCAATTAAATGCAACAGAATATAATCACAAATAATTGCTGTCATTAATTTTAGTTTGGGCATGTCTTGCCTGGCTATCCTCATAGTCCTAATTTACTGTACACAAAAGAGATGATTCACTTGGCAGTCTATTCATTGGGATTCTATTGAACAGCCAATCTGATGATGAATGCCCTTCATGATGACCCTGAGGTTCTGAGATTTGCTGAAGTGCCTTCTGAATCATCAGGGAAAAGAACAGTCAGAGACCACAAAATCCTCTCTCCTAGCATTAATTGTGGCCTTATTCCTTGGGAGAAGGAGAACGTTGAGAAATTCTCATTAAAAGGAAGCTTGGTACACTGGGCACATTGAAAATTATGGCCCTAATCTGATACAGCCCATTCACATCTGCCTGCTTCCATTGACTTCAACATATGTAGTATTGATCAGAAGACAAATGAAAGTTGAAACTTGGTTCTGTATTTTGTGTATTGATCTCTTAATGTATTTCTAGCTCTTCTGGAGAAGATACCAAAATGCAGCCTTCGCTGTCGCTTTCTGAGAGCAGTACAGATGAGAAAGAAGATTTGCTTGATAAGCAACTTGTCATCACAGCATCACGGTCAAAGAGTATTTAATGATCACCCGTTCATTACTTTCCATTTTGTACTCAGAGTAAAGCAAACAACATAAAAAAGTAACTGACTACCTGACCAGGTGTTGGAGATTTTGATTATTAATGTCTCTAATGTTTCAAGGCTTGTGGTGAAACTAAAACGTAGTAAAACTAGAAGTTAAGGGCTTTTCTCTCAAATGATACATTGTATTTCAAACACTGACTTATATTTCATATTAGCAAAATTTTGAAAATTCTAAGGAATAATATTTATAATTATCTCTATAAATCCTACTGCAAGGAAAAACATGATTATATTTAAAGTAATACTTCATTGTTTAATTACATTTCAAGAAAAATCTGTCATTAAGAATAATATATATTTGATGACCATGTCAGAGTACTCACAATCATGAATTGAGCCTGTAATCTCAGTGTTTTTTTTTCCATTAGGGGTTCTGTAATATTTATGGCAGTTCTATAAGCTTCAAAACCTGATTCTAGGAGAAAAAAGAAGATCCAAAGTAATTTGGACATAAGACCTGTTATGTTCTGTTCTAGGAGTGACAGAAAAGCATTCCAAAACATCTTATTTTGGGCAGATCAGTGTAATGGTTGTTTCTCTCCCTCCCTCTCCACATGCACACACTCAGACACACATCCTGTTAATCCTGTTTCTCAGGAGAACCCCAATAATGACAGTTTGAAGGACTCTTGGTGCTTCTCAAAGGCAATAATCCTGTGGAATGTTTCAGTGCTGTTGCTACATAGGAGATCCTGGGTTTCAATCAAGTTTTTGTATAATGACATAATCCAAGAGTTTAAGCAAGGGCAGACATAAGGGATAGTTTTGTGGTTGTCACTTTGAGGCATTTTAGCATAGTTTTATTTAAAGAGTTTGATGATGTATCAGAAAAAGTATTTCTGAAGATTGGCTATACTTTCACTACATGATAGCCATGGCTCAGGGTTCAAACTCTTGTTTTCTCTGTGCCTAAGTAGTAAGCCCCTAATACAAGACTGATGGCCATTCAGTATAAATTTATCTTTAATAATTTTACATGTCATCAGTAAATTGTCCTGTAATTCTCACAGGTCTGATAGGCTATAAAATGATGAAGAAACTTACAGCCATTTCTGTGTCTTTCAATATAAAAATGTCCTTTGTTGAAAATGAATAATGTATAGAGACAAAAACGATAAAAAGCCAGTCACATTATCAGAACAAAATATGCAAAAAAAATTGAAACAGAGTGTGACTCCATAATAAATTTTACTTTGCTCTTAGCACTTGCTCCCTTCCAACACTATATATTCATACAACAATGAGTCATTTTTAAGTTTTCATTATTTGTGTCAAAAGCCCTGTGGCATCTTGTACTGACATCGTCAGCTACCTGAATTCCAGTATCCATAGTTAAAAAGGGGATTGCTTGTTTCTTTATTAACATAGGAACATCTTTTTAGTATGTCTTCTCAGTTTCAAAATTCCTTAGTTCTCCTTTGCTCTGAGACATCTTATTCCTTTCTGGTGAAGAAGCAAATTATTCCTTTGGATGTGATGCATAAAACTTAGATGCTTTTCTCAAAGCTAGAAGGAAGTTTTGTCTTATTCTTATTAGAGAAGGATTGGACCACTACTAACCCTTCTATGTATTCAGACACAACTTCATTCTTCTTCTTCTTCTTTTTTTTTTGGTACTGGGGATCGAACTCAGGTCCTTGCCCTTGCGAGGCAGGCAGCGGAACCACTGAGCTAAATCCCGGCCCACAACTTCATTCTTATACGAACCGTCTCAGATGATTTTTTATGATGCCACTATTTTTTACAATATAAAATTTTGTGATAGACATTATGTTGATAATTTTCATCAGTGCATCACTGTCCAAAATTTGCTGAAAGGGATGTGACACACAGACTTTGTCATTTGACTTCCAGTACGATATTGAAATTGAATGCAAAGAGGGTCCTCTGTGGCCGAGCAGATCCAACTTCCTTTTGCCCTTGTTTGCGCTTCATAAACACACATTTAGAAAAGTTTCTTAAGTCCATCACTATTAGCATAATGAATTAAAAGCTAAGTAAGTTTACAGCCTTTGCCTGAAGCAGCTTCAAAGTGCGCTCTCATTTTGAGGCTCTAGCTTAAAATTACTACTTAAGACTTGCATCATGTTACATCCATGGAACTGATAGAATTACACATTTTTCAGAAGAATCTCAACCACATTAGTTTACTGAGGTTAGTGCATATTCCTGTAGCAACTATTGGGTAAGTGATCGCATGGATTTCCATGCATGTTAACCTTGACTGTTCATATTCAGATTTGTGGAATTCTGTGATAGCCATGTGAATTTTTCTAATTTTGTAGCCTTGGACATTTACATGATAGAAACAAAGTGATATTAAATTTACTTTATGGCTTTAATATGTTATTTGATATCCACTGAAGCTATTCATTTCTACTATACGATAGTGCACACAACACAGGCCAGTAATATCTGATGCCTGTAAGATCACTGAAAGCTATGCTGTATATTTTATGGGCACAGAAAACATTTCTTGAACAAATGAAAGTTTCAAAATGGCTTAGCTTCTGTTTTATGGTACTCAGAAAATTTAAATAATGGATTGATTCAGAAAAAGCTAACCTCTCTGTCTCTATAGTTCAATTTTTGGAAATATCTTAAGCAATGCTCATCTCATACAAGTTTTAAGCACATGCTTTTTCTCATCTCATGTCTCAAAATATACCTTCTCAAAGAGACTTCTCTCATTTCTATCTAAATTAATCTCCCTTATCTGTTTCCTTTATTTTTTCTCGTGATACCCTGTCCTTTTCCTCCATAACCTAATGACTGATGTATTTGTATGCTTTTGGAGATATGTTTTGCAACTAGGCTTTAAATTTCAACTGAGCATTTTGTCCACTTTGTTTACCACTATACTACACAACCCCAGTGGATGCTAAGCTAACAGGGGAGGTCATTAGTGAAAGAATATTGTGCAGTATCCAATTGGTAAGTCTTGTCAGTCCCTAATTTCCCAAAAGGGCCATAATATAATACAGGTAGTGAAATAAGTGCAGGGTCTATCATCAGATATGTTATGAGAATCAAATTGATGAATGCGAAAATAACTTTTGAACCTAGAAAGGCCTCTGACATGCTTTTTATATTTTTTCTTGAATTTATGCCATGTTAATTGAATATATGGACAAATTAATCATAAACCATTCAGTGAATTTAGGGCCACGTTGACATAAATTATCCTCTAAAATCATTCAGATTCATAGGTGGGGCATGCTTTCAGTAATTACAAAATTAGGTTGAATGATACATAATGGTAGTATTTATGTTAAAAGTTAAATATCTAAATTTATTTTATTAAAATGTTTCTAAAAATAGTTTCCTGCGCCTGTAGCTTTCTTCTACCGAATTTAAATATTTAAAATAATAAGATTCACCAGCACTATCTAAAGACCCTCTACATCATTCTTCCACAAAGGAAAAAATTTTAAAACATACTATTTATACCTCCCCAAACCTGTTTTTATAGGATCTGTTTCATTATAATTTTCATTCCTGGTTATTTATTACTAGCCACATTTGCATGAAAACAATGTTTATTTCCTCAGAGTTCATCTGTGCCTGTAGTTTATCCACTACCTAAAGTCATAATTCTTTGTTAGTGACACCCTGATTGTGCGCTGGGTAAATGATTATGATGTTGCCAACAGATTATTACTTTAGCTGGGGAATAACCAGCAGGCAAAGATGAACTCTAAGGAAATAAAGAGCCTCCTTTTTTAGCACAAATGTCTTCTGTAGTTAATGAAAAAAAGAGGACATTTTTGTTGTTCTCCATAAGGTGACAGGTATATTTTAGCTGAAAAGAATTAATTGATTGATAGGAGTTTTAAAAAATGCATATAATACACAATAATAGTTATGGAAACATAAGTCTGAAAGGAATTTCTGTACTTTTACTTTTGCCAGAAGGAGGTGATATGTATATTTCTGTCTAGAAAAAAAAACACATTTTTTTGGATGCAAATGTTTTTAAAGATTTCTGAAAGGGGGTGGAGGGAATGAACTTCAATTCTATGTTGTAATTTATTAAGCTTTATATATTTAATATAACTGCAAAAGAAATGTTTTAAAGGTATTTTTATGTATTTTCACATTTTCCATATAGTTGTCATATTTTTTAAAAGATAACATTTGTTGTTCATTTAAATGATGACAGTGTTCCTAAATAGCTCTGTACTTTAAAAGTGAGAACTGAAAATACAGTCAGAAGGTGATTAAATGTATATTTTACTGTTTTTAAAATATTCATCACATTTACTTTCTCCTCTGACCTCCTAAACCAGAACCCTAAAAGAATTTCTTGTAGATTAAGCTATTGAATCAGTTAAGCTTGGTTTAAATTTTCTTAAAAAAACAAGAAACAGTATAAGAAAATTGAAGTTTATTTCTTTTGTATGGAAATGAAGTCTGATAATAGGCAGTCAAGAGCTGCTAAAGCAGCTTATGTCCTGCTATGCTATTTCATTCCCAAAATCACCTCATCATCTAAAATTCTGTTAGATTTCTAGCCATCACTCTCTGAGATTTGTGTTCAGAAAGGGGGAAATGAGAAGAACAAATCAGGGAGCTCCTAATTACTTCTTTCTGGAAGCCAACCCAAACAGTTCTGCTTGTATCTTATTGGCCATATTTAGATGCATTGAAAATGTGATTGATTGAAATTTGGAACTATAGGGCCAGGGATTTAGCTCAGTGGTTCTGCCACTTGCCTTGCAAGTGCAAGGTCCTGAGTTCGATCTCCAAAAAAAAAAAAACCCAACTAAAATTTGGGATTATATTATATACAATATTCAGAGAAGACAACTAGCATCTGTCCTACAGCTCCTAAGGCTATCATCATTACTGATCTCCAGCTGATTGTTTTCATGATATATAGATTTTGAAGTCATTGTGATTTGAAATATGTGGTATTACCCAATCTTTTGAGGTCTAAATAAGCCACATTTAAATGCACTATTATACTTAAAATCACTCAATTTCTTATGTAATCCATACCTTTACTTCAG